AAGACATCTGTCCATATTTGATCAGATATTCCATTTTGCTGCAAATGATCCCACCCTCCATCCCTACCCATGAAGGAGGCAGCTATTTAAATGTGCTGATACTTTCCTGCATAATAACCTGCCAATTCTTTGCCTTGCAGAAGAAGCAAGTTTAATTGGGCTGTGCATTTAGAGCTCTTCTACAATTACACAATTACAGCGGAGATGCATTTCTGCACGTTGCGATGTTTGCCCCAATTTACTGCACTTTTCATACAGTTTAGCCCTGGTTGCCTTTTCAGAGGATGCAAATTTGGCTCATTTGGCTTCAAATGAAGCATAATTGCTCATATTGAAATCCACACCTTTCTACAAGAGGTTCCTGCCAGTTAGTTCTCATTAAACCTAAGGGTTACAAAAATTCCCAATTCCATTTCAGCACACAAGCCATCTGTATCATCTTGTGTTAAAAGCAAGGAAATTGGAGACAAAATGGATGCTGAGTGCATGGATGGAAAACTTAAAAAAACAGTTTGTTCAAGTTAGTCAGTGCAGAGCATCCCCCGCCTCCTCCCCCTGAATTCTGTTTTCTAAATTTATCACAAGTAGCATGAATTGGAAATGGAAGAATTAGTATTGGATATTTAGAAGGAATGTTTTAGTGGCAAAAAACCCAAAACAAAACAAAAAAACTAAGGGACAGGACTGATTGAAATGCAAGCTATTTTCATTGTTTTCAAATACAGACTGTGTTTGCTGTGTTCGACCTGAAAAGCATTCAATTAAGCACAGCCTAATTAGTTCGAAGGGCATGTGCGGCTGGCCTCTCTACATTCAAAAAAAAGAATGGTGTGTCAACCCCGACATGTGATCACCATCAAAGTGTTTCCCTCGGCTTCCTCTTCTTTTATATCACTGTCTTGAAAGTTATAGGAAAAAAACTCTTTTTCTAAAAGGCCCTCTGAGTCTGAAGTGGTGGCCTGAGCCCACTCCAAACAATGCCGAACAAGATACTGTTTAAATTCATATCCGCTCGTCCTTTCTTACGGGGGGACAACACAACAAACCACTGACCCACTGATACACAATTAGAAGTGATGCGGCAGTTAAGGCTACAAGCAAGTCCGTTTAACAGTCTGTCTTTGACCCTCCGCCATTGAATAAATATAATGCCCCCAATGAGAGTAAGACACTGAGGTAGAGTGAAAAGGGAGCTGGGGAAGATTTTAAGCCACAGATAAGTAGTTAAAGACCTTTATAGAGTATAACACCATTATCCCTGCTGAATAAAAATAGGATTTAGTGTTTTTTCCACTTAATTTAAATCAAAAGAGTCCCCACCTTACATATTGCACTGGTAATGTAATGGAGAGAGACCCACAAAAAAGGCATTGTGGCTCTGACACCTCCTATAGTGGGACTGTGTTGTCCTGTTCGCAAAAGGGAGAGAAAGGTTTTTTCTTCCCTGCATTGCTATCTGCTAACACATTCTAATTGATGCTGCTGCATTCCTCCACTGGATGCATTCAGTGAATAACGAGCCTCGCACTGAATACCCATGAATTGGTCCCCACCAAGCAAAGCAGTAAAGCCTTTGGCCCCCCATCCCTGAGCCTCCCCGCACCGCCACCATCGCAACCACCGCCGTACACCACCTCCCCTTCCAAACCTTCCCCAAAGCTCTACTCTAGCTTTACTGCCCATTAAAGCACAACCATTGTGCAGAGGTTCAGTCCACAAAAGCTGTCAATCTCTCCGGGTCCTCCAAAGCTTGGACTCACACAGACTGGAGTGACAGACCTCCCCCCCTTCACCCTCCAACCCACCCCTGTTCCCCTGAAAATCCTCTCCCTGAAAACTTCTCAGCTAACTATCCCCCACCACCCTCTCTCTCCCTCTATCTCTCTCTCTCTCTCCCTCTCTCCAGCCCCAGTGCACAAAGCATCAATCTGTCTTCAGCCCCAGCACCCTTGGCCCTTTGTCCCATCTGCAGGTGCCTCTGAAAGCACCCACGGTCGCCCCAGCCTCTGCACACGCCACGCCTAGTCCAGGAACAGGAACTGCTGACAAAGGCCCAGTGTGGGAATGAGGGATGCGTGGAGGGAGGGAAGGGGGTGTTGAAGGGGGGCTGCTCCAAGACAGATGGCTGGGGAAGTCTCCCAGCTCCTCCACAGGGGCTGTCAGTTTAAATTCACAACTACGAAGGAGACACACGGGGCAGAACCAGTGAAGAAATGTCCACCAAATTCAGCAGCTACTGTAAACTTCACTCAGGGACAGAAACACAGAAGCAGCAGGTGTATCAATGGAATTTAATTCATAGATTAAAAAGATTATTTTAGCTAGAAAGACTCACAAACACTTGGCGTATAAAAAAAATACCTTACGTGTTGAATA